GCAAATTCATTAGCAGCATCAACAAACACTGATTCCTCTCATCTGATGACTTTTAGTTTAGCATTCTGTCTTTAGGTGTGATTTCTGCACCACAGGTGGTTGTTAACTTAGCGTCTTTTAATGCTTAACATATCCTCTACAATTGTCCCGGTCTGTGGGGTTCAAAGATCAAGTCGGGTTGTTGTTTTAACTGAATAAAGATAAACTTTTAAATTAAACACAGATCTGCGATGTGCCAACAGAGTTCTGCTCTGATTTCCCTGAACGACTGTGACAAGATCTTCGATGAGCTCATCTCTTCCATGCAAAGAAAACAGAGTGAGGTGAAGCAGCTGATTAAAGCCCAAGAAAAAACTGCCACCGCTCAGGTGGAGGACCACCAGTCTCAGTTGAAGGAGGAGATTACAAAGCTGAAGAGAACGTACGCTGAACTGGAAAAAGCTTCGGATGCAGATGACCTCATATATCTGATGCAGGTATAGCTGCTTACAACATAGCAAAGGTTTTCCTGTAAAATACCTGATTTCAAAGGCCTAAAAAAAGAGAGAACTGAACACAATTCAATCCAAATGGCCAAAATGAACATTACACCAGATATTCTAGACCTGCATGAGATCGTTTAGATTTATGATGGGTTGCTTAAAAAAATGACCATTTTTGTCTTCTCCTTATATTTCACAGCATCTCTCCACTTCCTGGGATTCTCCAGATGGCTCACCTGGAGCTCCTCCTCAACGCTCCTTTAAAGACATAAGCAAGTGTTTGTCTGAGCTCAAAGATAAACTGGAAATGTCACTGAAAGAAACATGGCCCAGGATCTCAGCCACAGGTAAAAGTTGGAAATGTAAAAAGAAAAAAGAAAGCGTTGTGGATGAGTTGCTTCATAGATACCCAGTGCTGTTTTTTTTAATAACTCCAGTTTGTTTCTTAACAGTTTCATATGTTGACTTCTCACTACCTCCGGCCCCCAGCAGCAGAGAAGAGTTTTTACGTTGTATGAAATTCACTTGAAACATTATAAAATCATATAGTAGTCCGTTACAGTTGAAAATAGTGGTAATATTTATCGTACTTGCTATATTTTTTGCCAGATGTTTATCCCCTCACACTGGATGGGACCTCAAACTATCATTATCTCCACCTGATATGCGAGAATCGCAGGATGAGGCCTTCACCCGGCCAGGCTTCAGCGCATCTGGACAGGTTCACTAAATTTCCCCAGGTGCTGTGCAGAGAGGGTTTGTTCGACCGGTGTTACTGGGAGGTAGAGGGACATGCTCGCACTCTGTCTGTAGCAGTGGCTTATAAAAACATCAGTCGGACATCAGATGAGTCACAGTTTGGCAAAAATGACAAGTCCTGGAGTTTAGATTGCACTGCAGATGGCTTTTTATTCTGTCACAATAATGTAGAAACCAAGGTGCCCGGCTCTGGTCTCTGCAAGATTGGAGTCTTCCTGGATTATAAAGCAGGTACTCTGTGTTTTTATCGTGTCTCTGACCCAATGATTCTAATCCATCAAGTCCAGACTGCATTCATCCAACCTCTTTATCCTGGGGTTGGGATAAATTATGAATGGTATGATACTGGAGTATTTGCACAGCTGGTTAAGTTATGGTAAATCTTTTCGAAGTGATAGAGATGTTAAATATTTTAAGACCCCATCTCTAAAGGATTTTGTCGTCCATCGCAAAAGCGTAGCACACAGAAGTGGGAAGTATAAAAATACAAATTCTTCGTTACTATACTTAACTCATTCACTGCCATTGACGTCTATAGCCGTCAATTGCAGTGAATGAGTCAATGGGTTTAACTCATTCACTGCCAATGGCTGGCAGTGAATGAGTTAAGTAGAATATTCAGATATCTGTACTTGAGTAGTAGAGATACCTGTACTTGAGCTTCAACCTTTTTTAAACAAATATTTCTAGTGTAATTTCTAGTCTTATACTCAGGGATTAAAGCCGGAACGAGTGCAGGTCCTCGTAAATTGTGGCTGTGGTACCTCAGCATATAGTTAGTGCTACTGAAAAGCAGCAAATATAATGAAAGTATTTTTTTAAGTGGTAGGTAATTTCAAATGCAACATTTCTATTAGCTCAACAAACGTCGGCAAAACACACACAAACTGTTTTAGCGCAGTTTGTTAACCCTAAAGGTTCAGCTGCTGTATCTCACAGTGTGACAAAGTGGGTTAACAGTTGGAATACTCATTACTTGTCTCATAAGTATTAACTTTTTACACATTAAGCACATTATTCTCCACACGTTAGTGATGGCCATATGGCACAGATTCAAGTGGCTCTGCATATTTTTGGCTGCCAGATGGCACCAGATAGGACTGTGTTGAAAAGCTTCTAGTGTTGAATCATGTTTTGATAAAAGCTTCAGTTTTTTTTTTGTTTTTTTTTTTTTAAATAAATAAACAAATAAATGCCAGTCTAGAGTTTCTGGACTTCAAAGGGGTGATGATGTCATGTCTGATGTACCCAGGCTAAACCAACAGGTGCAGGAATGTTTTCTTTTGTTTGTTTTCAGGTAACGAAGTGATTTTTCAAGACTATCTTTAACTTTAACAGAGCCATTTAGCTGTATTTATTCTATTCAATTCAATTTCATCTAAATAGCACCAAATCACAACAAAAGTCGCCTCAAGGTGCTTTATATTGTACAGTAGATCCTACAATAATAGATACAGAGAAAAACCCAACAATCAAATGGCCCCTATATGAGCAAGCACTTTTGTGACAGTGGGAAGGAAAAACTCCCTTATAAACAACTGAATCAGGTGCTGAGCCTGTGATATACTGAATGAAGGTTCAGACGTCACTCATCATGTGGCTCTCGCCAAACGAACCAAGCCTCGACACAGTGCTTCTGAAGGAGTGTGTTATTTTTTTGGACACATGCGCTTCAACTTCAAATGGACCATCACTACTGCAAACCCAAATTGTCTGCTGATTCTTCTTATTTACCCCCTTCTTTGACACTTGAGCCAGACTACTTCCCACACAAGGAGAGAAAAGAGTGTGAGAGAACTTTACTCAGAGATAGAGAAAGATGTAACAAAAGAAAGGACAGGAAAGGAAGCCGAGAGCTTAGATTTAAACGTAAGGAGTGCTCATTCATGCTTGATAAACTGCAGACTTAAAGATTACATGTCATGTTGTCATTTGTTATCATATACTGGATCTGTATGTGACATGTGTTTAACCCTAAAAGATCTTTGGGTTTCCCCACCTGCTGAATCGCACTTTAACCCTGGACTGTACAAGTTTTGTGATTAGATGTGGAGGTATAACTCAGCCTCTACAATGCAGACAACAGAATCTTTTTGTTTCTTTTACTGCTTGGTTCCTACATAACAGCTTCACTCTGACCACATTCATTAGAAGTACAATCCAGATTTAAATAACATTTGTATTCTTGTATAGTAAAATTGTTTTGTTTTTATATTAATATAGCACGTTTCACATACATGTGCTTAAAAACAAATGGTAAAAATACTTTTAAGGAGCTACTTTTTTTTACTTGGAGTACGTTTCAGAGGTACAGGTTCAGAGCTGTTTTTTTCACTTTCACTTTTACTTAAGTTGACACATGTATCTCTGTCTCTAAAGTTTTAACTTTTTAAAGTTAAAGAAAAAATCTGCATATAAGCGGCTTCTGTGGGGACCCCTTTCCCTTCTTGAGACATATCTCTCTTTTGATTTTCTTTTTTCTCTTTTGAATTTGATTTAAAACAGGAACTATATTCTCCTCATAATGGTGGCCAGTAATGAACTGTTCATGTTCCACCTTCAATAAAAATCAAATGAGCTCACCTTAGGCACATCTAGGCAACATTGGGGAGGGAGCTGCTGCTGCTTCGCTCTCTCTGACTGTATCTGAAATTAATAGCCATACATCTATTTGGATAGACATAGTGTCACAGCTATCACTGGCTTGCTGTCTTTAACAGCTGCCGATAGCTAAACTATTCTTAATCTGTTAATTGTATTCTGTTCACTTTTCTTTTGAAAAAAAAAATATTATACCTGACTGCTCCCAGTTTGCTTTTTTGTTGGTCATTTTCATATCTATAATTTGCCTGAGAACTTGCCTTGATTGGCAGCTGTAGCCAATCAAAATAACTCTAAGAGTGCATTGATGATTTATCTACAAGGTCACAAAAGAATCTAGAACAACATCTAAAGAATAGCAGGCGTCACATTTCTTACTGAAGGTCAGGGTTAATGATTAAACAACAACAAGGAGATCAAATAACCATCCTCTGTCCTTTTGAACAATACTTTTTAAAAACACTAACTGGAAATGCTCTTGGCTTTTACATAGAAAGTTCCTTCTGATCAAACCAGTACTGGAGGTGACATTTTTGTTATTATTATTATCTTTTTTATTATTATTAATAATAACTGTTATCCTGTGTATATATATATATATATTCTTGAACCAAAAATACAAACTGGAATTGGATGACTTTTGCACTGTGTGCATTACATAATGAAACAGTGATTCATCTTTTGAGGAACTGCACCCACACAAAATCTCCTGGACTGATAGGATGACCTTTGTTCATGAAAATGTATTGCCATGTCAGTGCAATGCAGTGTGCATTTTCCCCCGTTATGGAAAATGTCTCATTCATACGATGGCGTTTTCACAACAAGGACTAAAGTTTAGCGTATTTTTAGTCTTTATACAAATAGCATGAAAGTTAGATGTAATCTCAAAGTAAAGGTGTCTCTGGCATTGCTTGTGCTCTTGGTTTATGTTAAATTGGGAAAACTGTCTATTCTAAATTCCTGTTTCAATTGATTCTCACTTCCTGATTTTTTTTAACGTAATTAAATTTTTGACTTTCTTTGCAGTTTCTCTGTAGGGAACACCTACATTTTTAAATATTATAAAGTTCTGTCTCTCTTCAATTGTTAATTGTACAAATTTGTCCTGTAAAAAGATGCTGATGAACCTGAAAAAAAATAATTCTAACAGTCCAGGACATTCTTGTTTGGGTGCAATTCCTGAAAGATGAATGACTGTTTCACAATGAATTTTATAAAGCGAATCTAAGATAAGATAAGATTAAAAAAAATCTGAGGGTGATCCGAGCAAGCAGGAGGACAGGCAGGTTGCAGACGCGAATGCTGGATCGTAACCACTGAGGGGTGATTGACGGACAGGCGTGGAGCATCCGTCAGCGCAGGGTTAAACAGTCCTCCAGGTAATTGTCCAGAATGGAAAGCAGGAGTGCAGGTGATGGCCCAGCCCGGGGGTGTGGCCACCAGGGCATCACACACACTCCTCAGACACAGGGCCACGGACCATGACAGTTCAATTACATGTTTTTTAGCTGAGTCTACATACAATGCCACAGATTGGATACAGTTTGAGATGCATCAAATAATATGACTCAGCTGGGACTTAGCTGAAGACTTGGCATATCTTATGGTGTGCAGTTTGTCCTTATATATAAAAATATGACACAACGCCATTATTTAACACGTGCTGTTTGCTGAAGCTTCACAAGAAATGGTTTAATGGAAGTATGGCAGTCAAGAAGCTAAACATAAGGTAAACAGGGGGGGAAAAAGTTATTCCGAATTACCAACAGTATCCAATACCATCTAGGAATTAAGATTGGCAACAACTTAATTTTTCAACATGTTGTTGATCCCAAACATATTGTCAATGCAGTGAAAGCACACCTGGAAAGAAATAAAACATGCTGAAATACTATTGGACTGCATAATTAATACATTCAGACATGAGTTTGGTTCAGGGATCAGAATCAGAATCAGAATC